CAGTTGCTTAGGGAGTCAACCAACAGATGGAAGATCTTCCTGTCTGTCTCTCCTCCTCTCTGTATATCTGACTTTCTAATAAAAATAAAATAAATCTGAATAGATTTCATTGTGATTGGAATAGCGAGATTGGCGGCAATTCAGAACTGATGAACTATCAAATTTGCTTGAGCAGGACCCTCGGAGCGTGCCTCACATCGGGGACCTGGGATGGGTGGGAGGCTGGGTGAGGCTTTTCCCTTTGTTTCTTCCCTGACCCCAGATACAGGGGGAAAATGATGATATCGGTGTGGAAACAATGGTATTATCCACTTTCCTATAGCTCTTGACCCTTTGTACCCTAATCAACTAAGTAAGATTATTTAGAAAAAAAAAAAAAAGTAGCACATGGCACAGATTTGCTCGCATTTTCATTCTCTGTAATCCTCCGTAGTGATGATTGTACGTTTACTGTGTCTGTGGACCACATTCACCCTGCTGCCCAGTTCTGCCTTCCCAAAACAAAACCATTAGGATTAGAGATGACACGGATGGTTCCTCATAACTACACTCCAACTAGGGACTTTTAAAAATTATACTCACACTACCACAGGAGATAAATGCACACTTCTAAAACTCATGATTAACACTTCCTTTATGTAACACCAAATCTTTGAATTTTTTTTATTTTGAGATAAGTGTATATTTTAAAAACAGTTATAATAGGGCCTAGCCACTAAAGTCCTCACCCTGAACGTGCTGGGATCCCATATGGGGGCTGGTTCTAATCCCGTCCCAACTGCTCCACTTCCCATCCAGCTCCCTGGTTGTGGCCTGGGAAAGCACTCAAGGACAGCCCAAAGTGTTGGGACCCTGCATCTGCGTGGGAGACCTGGAGGAGGTTCCTGGCTTCTGGCTTCGGATCGGTGTGGCACTGGCCGTTGTGGTCACTTGGGGAGTGAATCATCGGATGGAAGATCATCCTGTCTCTTCTCCTCTCTCTGTATCTGACTTTGTAATAAAAATAAATACATCTTTAAAAAAAAAACCAGTGATAATAAATAAGAGATACTGGTATACTCTTTTTGTTTTTAAATTTGGAGTTTTTCTTTGGGATGATGGAAATGCTATAAACTTAGATCATTTACAAAACTCTGACCACACTGAAAATCATTGAACTGAGTATTTTCAGTGGGTAACTTACAAGCATATGAGTTATAATCAAAGACTTTTAAACAATATTTCATTACTTATTTTTACTTGAAAAAGTTACAGATACAGAGAAAAAGAGAGAGGGGCAAACTGAGAAAGAGAGGTATTCCAACCACTGGTCACCCTCCCAAACAGCCATAATTTCCAGAACTGGGCATCCAAAGCTGGGAGCTAGGAGCACCTTTTGGGTCTCCTGTATGGGTGCATGGGCCCAACGACTTGAGCCATCCTCCGCTGCTTTCCCAGGCCATCAATAGGGAGCTGGATCAGCAGTGGAGAAGCTGGACTGGAACCAGCATCCACATGATATGCTAGCACGCTGGCAGAGGAGTAACGTGCTACCTCACTGTGCCAGTCCCAATCAAAGATTTTTAAATATTTAAATTTTCATTTTCTCTACATGATTAATTCAGTATGGCGTGGCTCCTTGGCAGAAAATATACTATGACATCACAGTGAGATATTGACATTGACACAGCCCTAGTGAGCTCTATCATTCCTCTAGCTGCCCTGGTGCACCCACAGGCACCTCTGCCCCTCTATGCCACCCTGACTCCTGGCACCCACTAATCTGTTCTCCGCCTTGATCATTTCATCACGGCAGAGTATAGTATACTATGTGACTTTTGGGAATTGGCGTTTTGTTATTCAGCATACTTTCCTGGAGATCTACTATGTTCTATGAGTAACTGATTCTTTTTTGAAATTTTGCAACTTATTTATTTATTTGACAGGCAAATAGATTGGGCTCCTGTCCTCTGGTTCACTCGTCAAGTCCCCATAATTGCCAGGGCTGGGCTTGTAACCAGTGCTGGGAGCTAAGACTTGGATTTGAGTCTCCCCTGTGGATGGCAGGGCCCCAGGAACTTGAGCATTCACTGCTGCCTCCCAGAGTGTGCATTAGCAGGAAGCTGGAATGGGAAGCTGGGAGCTGAAACCAGGCACTCCAGTGTGGGCACCACAAAGTCAAATGCCCACTTGTTTTTAGAAATGACGATTCTAGGATATAGAGTGATGGCTTGCCTTTGCCAGGATCCCATTTGGGCTCCAGTTCATGTCCCAGCTGCTCCACTCCCCATCCAGTTCCCTGCTTATGGCCTAGGAAAGCAGTGAGTGGAGAATGGCCCAAAGCCTTGGGACCCTGCACCCACACGGGAAACCCAGAAGAAGCTCCTGGCTTCTGGCTTCTGGCTTTGGATCGACTCAACTTGCCATTGTGACTGTCTGGGGAGTGAACCAGCAGATGGACAATCTTTCCCTGTCTCTCCTTCTGTCTGTAAATATGATCTGCCATTCCAATAAAAACAAACCTGTAAAAAATTATTATTCCATTTTTTCACGTCCACCAGTAGTTAAGTGATTCTATTTCTCTGTGTCAATAGTATTTGTACTATTATTTACTATTTCCACATTAGCCCTTCAAATAGATGTGCACTGATATCTCACTGTGGTTTTCACTTACATTTCCCTAATAGTTAATGATGTTGAACAGCTTTTCATATGCTTATCCGCCATTATCTTTTTTATGGAAATGTCTCTTCTTGTCTTTTGTTCACGTTCTAATTAAATTGTTTTCCTTTCTGTTGAGATTAAGGGTTTTTTTTTTTTTTGTATTCAAAACACTAGCAGTTTTTGGCTGTGTGGTTTGCAAATATTATCTTCTGCTCTTAAAACCTAGGTTTTCATTCTCTTAGCAGGGCATTTCACAGAGGAAAAAGTTCCTAATTTTAATAAAGCCCAATTCACACATTGTTTTTGAAACTTTCATGGCATCAGGTTTCATTTTTTTTTTTTGGCCTGGCTGTAGGCTGTAGGTTTCTCATATTGTTTTCCTAAAAAACTTCAAAGAACCCCCTGATGTTTTTGAGCCAAGTTTTGCATGAAGTGTGAGGCTTCCATTGGTGTGGTTTTTGTTGCGTGTCTTGAGGTCCAGTTAGTTAGTTGTTCCAGCACCAAAGCTTTGATCACCACTATGAAAGCGCTTTCCTCCAAGAAGCAGTGTTGCCTGTGTGTGGCATGCTTCCCTGGTCCACTCCTGGGCTGCCTCTGTGTGCCCGCTGATCAAAGTGTCTGTTCCTCTGCCAATACCGCTCCTGATTACTGCCGCCCCATGCCTACAGTAGACTGTAATACTGTCCACAGTGATGTCTCCCATTCCATTCTTCTTTCTCAAGAGAGCTTGTGTTTTGCCACAGGAATTTAACATAAACTTACTTGTCTCTAAAACTCTTGGGGGGTGGAGGTGGGTTTGGTAGGAACTGCATTAAGCCAGATCAGTTTGGCAGAGAGAGGAAGTCTTGTCAAAGCCAGGGCGGGCAGCTCATGAACGAGGGAGGCCTCTGTGTAGTTAGCTCTTCTTTCACGGTCTGTCGTTTTCAGCATACGGATTTCTTCAGTTTACTTCTGAGTATTAATCTTAAGTGACTGGAAATGATAAGTGTCTTCATATCCGCTTCCAGTTGTTCATTCTAGCAGATAAAAAAAACGCGATTGATTCTCGTGCTGACATTATATCCTACGATCTTGCCAAAGTCCTGAAGGTTTTTTGCGGGCTGTGTTCCTTCCCCATCTGCATGCCTCTGATTTGCTCTCTGTGCCTTAACCGCAGCGACTGGAATGCAAGCACAGACACCCTTGTTATAGCAGGAAGCCCTTCGGCCTCTTCCTCTTCAGCCCACACATCAACCGGAGACTTTTTTTTTTTTAACCAAGAAACATCTTAGAGTATTAATGTTGCCTTCTTTTTTCTTACCCAAGCCTTCTGCACGGACAAAAGAAAAAGACAGAACAAAGCAGACTCCTGTATTCAAACGAGGCGACAGGGCCGGGTTCCCTTCAAGAACGGGGCCAGGGGCTCCCTGCAGTGTAACCAAGAGCTCGTGTCACCACGCGGCCTTCTGCAGCCTGCCAGAGGCACCTGTAGGTGCAGCCGCAGGGCGTGGGTGCTCTCTTCCAGGCAGCTGGCGACTGCCAGCCCTGCCGTCTGCCAACCTGAGCTGGCGGGAGGACAGCCTCAGATACCCAGACCCAGGGTGAGAGGCCAGATTTTAGACTGTGTGAGCTTTTGGCAGCTGCTCCCCTCAAAGAGAACAGAGCTGGCCGGTGAAGAGAGAAAACGGTCGGGAGTTTCAAAGATGGAAAAATGTGATAGCAGCAAAGCCGATCTAGAATGCGTGTTACCCATAGAACCAGCTTGTGTGTGTGTGTGTGTTTCCCCCTTCTTTTCTTTTTTAAGGGAAGGGGAGTAGGCAATCCAATCTTTAAACACGAAAAGGGAACGCTGGGCAGGAGCGCCTGCCTGGCCGTCTCCTCTCCCTCGGGGTCCTGCAGCCCCACCCCCGTGCTGGCCGAGCCCACACCTGCGCGCAGGTGGAGCCTACCCGGACGCGCTAAGCGGGTGCGGGGGTTAGGTGAGCGGGGTGTGCGGGGCTGAGGAGGCGAAGGCGGCCTCTCCTCAGGGTAGCTCGGCAGCGGCCGGCGGGGGGCGCCCCGGGCCGCTCTCCCGGGCTCCCCTTCCCACGCTTCCTCCTCGGCGGGCCGTACCACAGGCGCCGGCGCGCGGGGGAGAGAGGGCCGCGGGAAGCGGAGCGTTCCACTGGCGGAGGGCCGGCGCCTTCCACCTGCGGCGACGGCGGCGACGACGGCGGCCTCGGGCGGTGGGCCGCGCCGCCTGCGTCCGGCCGCCAGGCCCCTCCTCCCGGCGGCGCGGCGGCGCGAGGCCCGGAGCGCTCGGCCGGCCGCGAGCCCGCCGGCCGGGGACGAGCGCCGCGCCTCATGCTGATCGCTGTCCTCCTCCTCCTCCCCCTCAGGCGGCGCTGGCGGCGGCCCCGGGACCCGCGGAAGCCGGCATGCTGGAGAAATTGGAGTTCGAGGAAGAAGGTGAGTGCGCCCTCTTGGCGGCGAGGGTACCCCGCGTGGAGGAGAGACCCCGGGAGCCCGAGCGGCCACTCCCGGCGTCCTGAGGGAACACCCGCGGCCGGCGGTGGGCGCGTGGGCGCCGGCGAGACCCGGGCTTGCACGGCACGCTGTTGCCTTGCGGATGCGAGCACACCAGCCGTGCCTCCAGAGGGGCCCCCGGGCTGCCGGCTCGGCACCGAGGGGCCGCCCTTTTGTCCTTACACCCGATTCGAATTAGAGCAAGGTGTCAGTGCAGTCCTGATTGCTCCCGCATGTCACCAGAACCCCCTCGCGGGAGCCCCCCAAATCCTGATTTACAGCCCGTGCCTTGAAGGAGCGAACTGGTGCCCTTCGTTAAAATACCAGCAGTAGGGTGTGTCTTCTGTTCTAATGGGGAAAGTTCAATAGGGAAAGCCCGGGGCGGCTGCCTGAATTGGCTGGTGAGTTCTGGCGACCCTCCCCATGGCTCTGGTCGCCTCGCCTCCTTCCTCGGGTTTTCTTATCCCTGCCCTATTTCCATCTTGTACCTTCTTACAGGCAAATAGCCTGGGTCTTACTTAGAGGCTGTTAAAATCTGAAGGGAGACGAGTTTGTTCCTGGCAGAATTAATATTTTAAGATGGCATGATGAGCTTTCACCCCCCGGGGGGGGTGTCTTATGTTGAAGCTACAAACATTTGGAGGGGGTGAGCCTGTTCCTTCGCCAAATGAATATTTTAAAATGGAATATGATGAGCTCGAAGTCGAGCAAGAACTTTATACCAGAGGCTTCCCCATCTGAAAAATGTAAAACGGCCTTCTCGCTCTGGATTTCCATGATTTGTGCGGTGACATTTTGGGTCCCCATATAAAGCTACTGAAACAAAGAGGGTGCCATGGGGGTGCTGTTCCCTGCACCAACTTGACTTGACTCGCAGTGTTCACAGTTACTTAAGGAGGCATGCGCCGCCAGCGTGAGCATGCTAACCGGGAGGCAGTAGGCCTTTGCCTGCTACCTTAGGCTCGCTGCAGCATCTCACAGACACACTAGCCAGGAGAGAAATGTGTCCATAGAAATTGTCATCGAAGTCTTCATCCATATTTATAACATGACACATTTCAGAGTTTGGACCGCATTCGCAGTTCCTTCTGCCTAAAAATAAGCCAGCGTCTTCGTTTGAATGCACCTGACTGTTGCTCGGTGTCTTGGTCCCACAGGCCAAGCTTTGGCCACCGTCCACTGGGAGTTTTCTGGGAAGACTTTGAATCTGCAGAGTCTAGATCGTAGGCATGTTTTTCACTGTGCTTGGTTTTGTCCCTGACAAAGTAACGGTGAGAATCTATGACATTTCAGGTGCTATTAAGATAGGAAGGCAAGAGGAGACCAGAGAGAAACAAGGGTATGGTTAAAGATGCAGGCCTGGGTACATACCTCATCTCCCATGATTTAGCTGTTAGCTGTGTGACCGCAGACGAATTACTTAACCTCTCTGTGCCTTTGTTTCCTCCGTTATAAAATCAGTGCTCCTATCAGGACACTTGCCTTTAGTACATGGCAAGTCCGTAGGAGTACTTTATAAATGTTATCCTTACACTGCTAAGTGCCATTAGCTATTGTGCCAAACTCATGGACTTTTAAAAACTTTTATTAACACATCAGAGATTGTTCCCAGCACAGGTTTGGGTAGCTTTTCGTCTTTTTTTTCCCTTGAGATTTGTTCACTGAATTCTGTTGGCAGTTTTCGGAGCACACCTTTGTTGCGCTCACATTGTTTCAGCCAGCGTAAAGAACGCAACGTGTTAAGCCTGAGCATGGGAGAGAGGGCGTTCCCCTTCTCCCAGGTTTTGAACCCATTGCTGTCATTGCTTGAATCCCCCAGGTAACCCTGTCAAACTTCTCTGGGTTCTGAAAGAGGCAGAATGTTGAACAATTACACGGAAGCTGTTAGGTGAAGGAAGGAACAGTGTTGGCGTGCCACTCCAGCATGCTGCGCTGTAGCTTGTGAACTTGAAATGGCTTGTTCTCCTCAAATACCGAAAAAGCTGAATATCACGTGTGATCTTCCATCTGTTTGAGGGGAGAGGGAGAACCCCACCAGGAAGACACTGCATGTTTGGCTATCCTGTGAACTGATGAAGCTATAACCTGTGTTATGGACAGCTGTGCAGTAGATCCTTGCTGCCTCTCCAGACTTCCATCTTGCCCAGTGAACGTCTTAATTCGTGCATTGATGTCTGGAGGCATAACTTACACCGAGACGCTCTTGTTATATGTAGGAACACAGAATTAGTGCATTTTTCATTACCCAGTACTTTACTACTTCCCAATAAATTATAATGGATATGTAGTCGTTCAGAACAATGTGGAGGTGCTGGTAAAGAGGGTGGAAGGAAAGGACTGGGCCATCGGTGCTGGGGTCTGACATGAGCTTTCAGTCACCTATGCTTGGGGCCTGACACGAGCTCTCACCCATTTCTGCTGACCCATCTTCCAACCAGCACGCTTGTAATGGGAGCCTGGGTGTCTTGGCCTCGTCTTCATCGCCTGCCCAACTGTATACAGAGCATGTGCAGGCTTCTCTCAGTCAGCCTCCCTTTCGTGTGCAAGAATTGCCAGAACTCTTTTTTTTTTTTTAATATTTGCTCATTTTTATTGTAAAGTCAGATATACAGAGAGAAGGAGAGACAGAAAGGAAGATCTTCCGTCTAATGATTCATTCTCCAAATAGCCGCAACAACCAGATCTGATCTGAAGCCAAGAGCCTGGAGCCTCTTCCGGGTCTCCCTATGCGGGTGCACAATCCCAAGGCTTCAGGCTGTCCTCAACTGCTTTCCAAGGCCACAAGCAGGGAACTGGATGAAAAGCAGAGCTGCTGGGATTAGAACTGGCGCCCATATGGGATCCCAGCACATACCAGGTGAGGACTTTAGCCGGTAGGCTACTGCGCCAGACCTACCAGAACTCTTTTTATAACTACACCAGCACCGTGGTGTAGTAAATTAAGCTTCCTTCTGCGTCCATTATCTGCAACCCATATGGGTGCGGGTTTGTGTCCTAGCTGTTATACTTGCTTTCCAGCTCCCTGCTGTGGCCTAGGAAAGCAGTTGAGGACGGCCCAAAGTATTGGGATCCTGAGTCCACCTGGGGAACCCAGAAGAGGCTCCTAGTTCCTAGATTTGGATCAGTTCAACTCTGGCCATTGTATCCGCGTGGGGAGTGAACCAGCAGATGGAAGATCTCTCCGTGTCTCTCTGTTTCTAACTCTGCCTTTCAAATAAAAATAAAATAAATCTTGGAAGGCAGACCTCAATCCTCTAGGCCTGGGATAGATCCTGAGGTTTTGCCTTGTCTTCTGAGCCCTAGGGGGTGTCTGTGCTATGGGCCCACAAACCCTCTGTAAGGCACAAGCTGGTTTGCCAAGGGTCGGATTGTAAGCGTCTAGCCTCGGCGTGTGGTGGAGGCTTGTTCTGTGGACTAACTGCTTGATGTACCCTGTGGAAGGAAGGAAGCCATGCACAATCTGGGGAGCTAGAGAAACGTCATTTCCCAAACGGCTGGCTTGCCAGGCCCTGCTCCGTGCACCCTCACAGCGTCTGTCCTCGTGGGCTGCGGCCTCTGCAACAGCCCCTCTCCCTGCGCTTCCAGACACAACCCAAGTCTCACCTCCCCTTTGAGGCCTTGCCCTGAAGGCCTCCTCTCCACCTTGCGATTCAGGCAGTGTTCCCAGCACCTGCTGTCAGGGCCGACACACAGTAGGTGTCAAACAGAGCTTCAGGATCCACCGTCACTTGCCCTCAGTTGTTACTTAGTGGGGACTCTGGGAAGAGGAAACAATTCAGTAGACAAAGATGGACGAGAATGGCACCGAGACTGGGCCACTGGCTTGGCGTGTTTGCTGTTTATCTTTTTTATTTGCTATGTTGGTCACGACTTTTCTCTGTGTTTATCAGAATCATCTGTCTTGAACTCACTGGCTGAGACTAGTCAGGAAGTGCCGTGCAGGAACCGCAGTACAATCCGTGAATAATAGCCGATGGTGCTATGCGTGATCAGTCCCCCTCAGACTCAGGTGCTGGCGCGTGAACGCCACAGCCCCACTGAGCCCCCTCTGTTCTCTCCCGGCTCCCCTCCTGCTGTCGCAGCGGCCATAGGCTTCTTCCATGAAGTCCTGTGTCTGGAGCTGGCTGTGCTGGTTTCACCCGCCTCCCAGCCAAGGCTGGCTCAGCTGTCCTCCCCTCTCCACGTTATCTGCCACTGACTTGACCCCACCCCATTCACCCTATAGGAGCCCTTTCTCCTGACTGCAGGTGTCTGCAGGCTGGCTTCCAGAGGAGAGTCCTTCTCCAGGACTCAACTTCCAAGCTCAGTTGGCCCAGCGAGACTGGTCGGTCCAGTCTACAGTGATCCAAATAGCTAAGAAATAGGGAGGGGGAGGCTGGTGTTGTGGCACATCAGGTCAAGCCACCACCAGCATCCCATGTGAGGGCTGGTTCAAGTCCCAGATATCCCAGTTGCAGAATGCCCCTGGGAAGGCAGCAGATGATATCCCAAGGGGTTGGGCCCCTGCCACCCTTATAGGAGACCGAGATGCAGTTCCTGGCTCCTGGCTTTGGTCTGTCCCAATCTAGCCATTATAGCCGTTTGGGGAATGAACCAGCAGTGGAAGATCTCTCTTTGTCTTTCCCTCTATGTAATTTTACCTTTCAAATAAATAAAATAATTTCGTTCTCAGTGATGACTCTCGGCGTTGAGGCCCAGCTTGGTGATGAAGACACCGTTTCCCTGGCTAACTAACCGCTCTCACTTGGGGCTGTGTTTGTTATTCTTGTAATGGTTTTTCTCCCCAGAGCAGGAGACTAGCACTTAGCTATCTTCTAATTTGACTGCTAGCTTGAAAACAGGACTCCCAAAAGTAATCTAGACCCACTCTGTGCAAAAACAGGGGACAAAAACGGATGTTCAAATGCAGCTCGTTCAGGTTCCACTGGTGGAGATGAGCTAAG